TCATAGAGCACAGAACAACACGTCACCACAAACTATTATTTATGTGTCTGTCTGTTTTTTATGAAGCCAAATCATAATATCTTTTATACAGTTGAAAAATGACTTTAAATACACTAATCTGAAAGGATTTGTATGTTTGTTATTTTGGGGATGAAGCACTACAGTTGCACTGCTGCTTGGAGCTTGTGCTGTGTTTCTGAGGTGCGCAGCACATCCCGGGCAGATGGCTCTGTGCTCACTTACACATTTTGTCCTCCACTAGTCTGAACTTTGTGCTTCTTTCTGTATATGTGAATGCAACTAATACACAATCAGATTGAAACAAATGTTCAGAATTTTTTTCACAGTTGTCTCTGATCCATGTCTGATTAGCTTGACAAGGTAATCCTGACTTCAACCAGAATGGGGGATTTCTCGTGATGAACTTGAATTAACTTTAAGGTAAACAGGTTTTCATTTTAAATCAAGTCCAATCTGAAAATAGGCTGCGAGTCATGACACTGGAATGTTTTGTCTTAAGCATTTCCACAATTTCTGCTGAAAAAGAAGGTATATTTAATTTCTAGCGCACTGAAAATGTTATGTTCTATTAAATGAAGGTCATCACCTAGGATGCATCATGTATGTACTGTATCATACTTTATGTGAGTATTTACTATGCTGATGGATGATTTCAGTAGCCAGTTGGAAACCAGGAAATAACTGACATACAGGATTCACATTAAAAAACTAAAAGTAATGCCAAAAAGAGTAATTTTCTCCACCAAATCTTATTTAGTAAGATGAGCTGTTGTGACATAGCCGCTGGGGCACTGTAAGTGTGTGCATGTGTGCTTATAGTAACCGTCAGTTTCTTCAGGTTTGGAGAAATGCCGAGGTGTGGCTATAGCTCAGTGGGTGACGAATGACTGTGATGCTGCAGGTGTGTGTATGTGTTTGTGCATGCCAAAAGTGTTTGACAGTTCTGATCTGTATGTGTGTGTGTGTGTGTGTGTGTGTGTGTGTGTGTTTGTGTGTGTGTGTGTGTGTGTGTGTGTGTGTGTGTGTGTGTGTGTGTGTGTTTGTGTAAGAGTGTACTGTGCTGTCTCACCCACAAACATTTAATCTTGATTGTAGACCTTGAATGTGTATCTGTGTGGGGTTGAGGAAAAAAGTATAAAAAGTACCAGTAAAGTCTAGTTTTTTATAGTTTTGATCAAGTCGTTTATTCAAGTCCAGACTCACTGACACACACAGAAACACACATCATTATCACTGGTCTTAACTGGCAGAAACATTCTCATTTTGGAAGCAATTTGCAGCCTTTCATCAGTCAAAATGGGGAAAGTTATGATGCTCGTAAAAAAATTAATATTGTTAGAAAAACTTTAAAAAGGGAAAAGAACATTTTGAGAAGTAGCTTGCTGCTAATATGCTATCCAATTTTTGTCATTAATATTATCTTACACTTGTGTGTAGAGTGTGAAGGGTCTCGATGGATTAACAGCACATTTACAGTAATAGGCGGTAAATAGAGGAAGCCAAACCCTAGAGACAGCAGCCTGCTTGGAGAAAACTCCACCCTGACAACAGGAATTCAAAGCGATGCCTTTTTGGCCTTGAGACGAGCCAAATGCCATATTTTAGCTCTCAAATTACCTGTTGCTCTACCCCTACTGCAAATATACTGTAGACAGCTTGTCAGAAGCAGAATGTTATTTTTGAGCCGCTCATTTTTAGACGTTCCATTTCCTTTGATTTTTTTGTTCTCCTTCAACCCTGGTTAACTGAAATCCTATTAGCGCTCTTGCCTGACTCACCCGAGCCGTATTAGGTAAATCAGGCCAAAGTGGCGCTTCTTCCTTCGCATCTGCCATTTGCATACACACTGTTGACTTCATTGTCATGCAGTAACTATGGGCAAAGAAACCACAATCTAATGCACATTTTGTTTTTTGACACAGTACATATGAACATAACGCAGAATATATATATTTATGTATATATATACATAAATATTTACACTGTATTTATAAGAAGAAGAATTCATTTTTTAAAATAATTTAATACTAATTCTGTGGTTTTAAAAGTTCCTGTTCTAGCTGATCGGTGTATCTTCACACACACAGGAAGCCAGCTGTGTATTTGAGGGTTGGCTCACTCATGTTATGATAATCCTTCCCCTTTGTGATGAGGTCCAGTTTGCAGGGGTCAGTGTAGCTGTGGAGTGTTTGTTCCAGGTCAGCTCACTGGCTTTAGTCTCTTTAATGTTTATTACTGGAGAAATATACTCTACTGTACATGGCTGTTCACTTCAATAGCGAGGACAGATGGCTGCAGCCTGCAGGCCGCACACGCACACACACACACACACACACACACACACACACACACACACACACATACACACACACACACACACCCACACACACACACACACACGCACACACACACACACACACACACACACACACACACACACACACACACACACACACACACACATATAGACATAGACATAGACATGCACATACAAACATGATACGACACACGATGTATGCAGTACGAACTTGCAACACATACACACGTGCATAGGGAGCGGTGCAGTTGGTGAATGCAGATGTGGGCTGACAGATCTCAGACACTGTGCACCTGCTTGCACACAGACATGCTTCCTGTAGCCGTAGCAACAAAATACATAACAATAATAATAATATAATAACCAAAATCACAGCCTCCTCTTATAGTTCTTTTGCAGTTTGTTTAATGATGATGATGATTAAGATCTCTATAAGAAATACAATGATTTATTTATGTCTAGGTAAATTATATGATTTATTTGAATATTTTTCATTTGTAAACTGTAAAACTTAATAACATACATGTTAATAAACTAAATCTACACTTAATATATAAGAATATATATCATATTATATATTAAAATATTAATACTTTCATTGTCATATTTATATTGCCATTGCTACTACAATGAGTAATAATTGTTGTTCATCTGGACAATGTTACATACAACAGTGCCATCATAAATCTGAGGGGTCCCACAATGATTAAAGGGAGAAGACATAAAATATGTACATATAAGTGTTTTAATAGAAATTGATTTCTACACATTTTCTCTGACTTTTTTAAAATCTGATTCACTGACTCTGGTTCAACTGCTTGAAGCACTAACCAGTTACTATGTGTGGTCACGGGAAGCCTTGTGTACTTCAATAAAGAGCTCAGGAACCACTAACATACATTATATATTTGGAATGGTTCATATATGTGTTTCCACTGTGAGAAGAGGAGGTGTATTTAAAAGCAGACCTAAAGCAGGTACGCCATGAGGTGGGCCGTTCCACCTGGAGCCTTCATCTGCATTTGATATCCCAAATCTGTTTCAGTTCTATTTCTAGTGTGGAAGCTGAAATGGCCAACCTGCTGCTAAACCATCATCTTGTATTAGAGAGAGAGAGAGAGAGAGAGAGAGAGAGAGAGAGAGAGACAGAAAATAAGAGATAATGATGATGATGATGATGATGATAATGATGATGATGAGGATTTCTCTTTTTTTTCTGTTTACCTCTGAGGTCACTTCTTTTCCCAGACCTCTTCATTCCTTCACTTTGGTTCCTTGAAGTCTGTTCATTCGTTTGTTTTCCATCCGCACATCTGCTGCTTGTGTCTTTACCAGCAAACATGCTCTGCTGCACAGGAAGGAAGGAAGGTGTAGTACCTTTATGACAGCAGCAAACAGCCCTTTAGTTCCAAAATTATTCAGATTAGGAATACTGGCCAAAAAAAATCTGTTTATTCACAATACTAATTCTGAAAAAAAAATCTGTGCTTGGAAGTGTATCTTTAATATGTACTTAACTATTTATAAGTTAAATAAGTACAATCATGAAATACGCACTCTTACTTACTTGTAGCTTAACTATTAACTAACTCAATATAAAAATAGAAACTATGCTTACAATTGTTAAAATTGTCAGAAATTCAGAGCATGCCAAAATCATCAGACTGTTTAATCGAGACGATTATCTGAGATTTACATTTGTGGATAATCGACCTGCCTGTGCTCATGAGGCCAATTAAAAAAAATGTATGCAGTGCAGACACATCTGCAGGCATCATTGTCAGTGTGGCTGCTGTAGGATGATGTTAGTGCTCCCCTTTGTTAGTTTTGGGAAAGTGATAAAAAAGTTAGTTTGGAGGCACGTTTGTCCTAAAAACAGCAAATCTAATCTATAACTGTCACTTGCTCATGTTAAATATATATTATGTTATAATGTATATAATAATGCAGTTGAATGACGTTGCTGAAAACGGTCCCCCCTCTCTCTTAAATACCAGTCACATTCTGAAATCTAAAGCATAACCGAATGCATTTTTTTATTAAATTAAAATTCCATCCAAAACAACATGTTACTGTGCATGGAATAATAGATTTATACATGACTTTTCTTTGTTTTCGTATCAGCACTAATTATGTTATCGGTAAGTGTGTCCAAACTTAGTAGTAGTTGTAACAAATTAGCATCAACCTGTAGCTCTATCAGCAATTTTCCTAAACACATTGAACACATGAACTCAAACGAGTTCAAACGAACTAGGTGGTACCGAGTGTTTATACCTTTTCTGTTTGGTCACACTTGAAGGTTAGGATGAAAGCCTACCTTTGCAGGCTGAGACGTAATGAATTCTACTAATGTGGATAACGGTGCACATATTTAGACAATATCTCCTTAAAAGTGTTTGTAAAAGTGTTTTGTGAAGTAGTTATCTGAAGAGTGAAAAAGGTGAGCTTGAGAGAAGTGTTCAAACCCTGCCAATAAGGGAAGAATCCCTTTGCACACCTGGCCAATGCTGCATAAAATGGCCTTAATTGCCATTTTGTGTGATGATTATACTACTAAATCCTTACATCCCACAAAACAATGTTAGAATTAAGGACCAGTTTGTAAATGTCCAGGTGTTAATTCATCTGACATTTCTCTTCTGTTTATCTCATTGGACAGCGGAGGTTGAGCTTCCAGATGGCCGCCTGTTCTCCGACTCCTTACCCCCCCACCCACTCGGCCTGCCCTCCCACCCACTTGGCCTACCTCCCCACCCGTTGGACCCTAGTCTGGCCCACACCCTGCCACCTGGCCTCCACGCAGACCACGACCTGCTGACCTGTGGCCAGTGTCAGATGACCCTCCCACTAGGCGACATCCTCCTCTTCATTGAACACAAGAAGAAGCAGTGCCAAACACCGCTGCTAGCCAATGGCTGCTACGACAAGATGACCGACCGGGGAGGAGGCGGTGGGAGTCCGACTTTGCAGAACCTTCATCACCATGCGCAGCGGGGGGAGCTGAGGAAGGTGGTGGAGCCGGTGGAGATCGGTATCCAAGTGACACCAGAGGAGGAGGAGGTGGGAGGAGGTGAGAGGGGAGAGAGGATGCCCACCAAAGGGATTTGCACCAAGCAGGAAAACACACCGGCAGGTAGGCATGATGAACATACAATGATTTGTTTTCTTTCCTGGCATGAAAAGATTGATGCCAGTCTCATGTCTATACATTAAGTATGAAGATAGAGTCAGGATGTAGTTAGTCTAGCAGATGTTAGCTAGAGTAACTCTGTCCAAAGTTCAGAAATACCCTTCCCAGGGAAGCAAAACAGTGCTTTGTTTAAAAAAAAAAAAAAAAAAACACTGATTGAAACATTGAGATTTTTTGAGATTTGTGATTAATACAAATGCAGATCCCACTGTTCTGGATGCAGAACAATTTTCTTGAAATTAGAGCCCAGATCCATTGGTTCAATTTAAGACAGGCAATAACAAAAGCAGGTATGGTGAGATGTTCTAGACAGTACCAAACCTGCGGCTTTTCCATCACCCTAAACACGTTTGACTGTGTTTTTTTAACACATATAAAACCGCATGTGCTCAAATTTACCTTTTAAGTTTTTGTGGAGGTATCCTGTTGAGACTTAGCCCATTCTCTTCAGCAAGAGAGTGAGAGATGTTGCGAGAGGACAACAGAGGGAGGAAGTGAAGAGCAAGAGGGGTGAGACAGGCACATTACCCACTCAAAGCCCTAAACCCCCTCAAGGACTCGGCTAGTTGAAACAAATTGTGCAAAACGTGACAGAGAGACTCACCCTGACTTTCATGGAGAAATCCAGCCTAAGCCATCTGCTTAAAAAGGTGAAAAGCTCATTAAAATTCAAATAAGCAAGTAGAAAAAAAAAACATGATGAGAGAAGGAGGAGGAATAAAAAAAACAGAAAGAGGGATTATAAAGAGGCTAGTTTTGCTCCCATTCAGTTTAGCAGGACAGCACCTGGCAAGGGGGGTGTTGCCAAAAGTGTGTTTGACCCTTATTGCTTCAGCCAAACACTGTAGCTATTAAGCACCTGTCATACCTACTGTATGGCACCTGTCAAACACAAAGGTAACTCAAGATGCTTTGCATAAGGAGTACAAATACAAAATGATGGTGATGATCATAGATGTGACAACATCAACAAATCCAGCTGCCTTTTACTCAGTACTTATACCTATCTTGCTGCATTCAGACCAAGTCAGCGTCTACCGCAAAAATATCAGCCCTCCCATTCCTTTGAGTGGCAGTAATTTGTTTAGGCTGCAGCGCTGGGGGCCACAGAAAAAAACGCAGCAGCAAAAAGCTGCAGCAAAAAAGTTGATACAGAATCAACTTTTGGAGAAATGCGACCCAGTGTAACACTAATCGAGTGAGCAGATTGGTCCAACTGCTCCACGGTCAATACTGCTGAACCCAGACACTATCTAGGTGGAGTTCATGGACCATGATACTTGGTTTATTTTGTGTAACTGAGTGTCTGCCTGCAGTCCATGCTGCAAGATAGAGACACCAAGAAGCTTCCTATGGTTTGTGTCCATTTGTTTGAGAGAGAGAAAGAGAGCGAGAGAGAGACTGTGGTGGTCCAGTAACTCATAGAGAGAATGAGTAGAGAGAGCGGTAGCAAGAAAGCTGATAAATCAGTGAAATAAAACAATATTCTGAAACGCAAATAAATACCCCCACACCCTTGCATTCCCACACCCTGCACTATAAATGCATAATTTGGTGTGATTATGGCCTAATGACTTTAATTTCTCTCTGAATTGTAGGAGCAGCAGCTCTGAATAAGACCCAGTGGGAGTGTTATTGTGAATGTGGAAATTTGGCCTATAGAAACAAAAATACATGTACATAAATTGTGTTTTTTTCATTTAAAGTGTAATTAACACATTGATGATAAATAATGTATGTGGTAATTGTACAATGTAATACGGGAGTAAGATTTCTTGTATGTGTACACATACCTGACCAATAAAAGTAATTCTGATTCTGTAAATGTTATATGACTTGCCTCATAAAATAAACCAAACTTGGCTTTGAATATTCTTAAAGCCCCCCAGAACCATGTGCACCGTGGACACATTCTATAATTCAGAATAAATCATAATTTGCATTTTGTCTTCAAACGTATGCATGAAATAGTTTCAGCTTTACAGCTCCGATCAATATCCTGATCAAGACCATTTGTCTTCTATAGTTACTTTTACAACTCTGGAAGTCAATTTATTTCCACCCTTAGGATAGAAACACCTCCATTTTTTCTATTGGCAGCACCATTTCAAAAGTTTGTGTAAAAGCCACCTGACATTTGTACAGAAACATAACTAAAACCCGAAGCCACATGGGGAAATCCACTCACAGAGACAGAGCTCCTCTGAACGTGTCAGTCTGCGGTTTGGCCTGCGCTGTAAAACACTGTGTTTGGGCCTGAACTTCATCAATATTTGACCAGGCTGTTACACCTCTGCTCAGCAGCTGCACAGTGCTGCTGTAGACAACAGGCCACCTGAACCTCTGTAACTGCACTACGGCTTTACGTTTAACACATAACAATCTGAGCAGTAGGAGAGTGCAAACAGTGTCTGCAGAGCTGCACTCAAGCTTGTTCACTAATTGATTGGTCACGTTACTAGGTCGGCATTATTCATATTTATGTGCATAAGTATATTTTTTTCCCCTGCGTTTAAATGCTTGCAATATATCTAACTGTAGTCCTCCTGTAAAATCAACTCCACATGTGCAGCGTTGGAAGGCTTGAAATTGCAATTGCACAATATTTCTTCATAACAGAATGCGCAATAATTTTCACATTAAAAGCAAAAACATATTAGTGGCTCAATTGGACATGCACTGCGGCAACTGTAAACTATATTGCTGCAATAACATTTTATGTTTCAAAATTACCCTCTGTATTTCACAATTTCCACATAAAATATGTCCAACTAGCACCTTATTAACACGAGGAGAGGACATAGGGGCTTATTAATCTTGCCGGAGTTTAATTTGGAGAGAACACGCTCAGCCCTGCTCATAATCACCAGGAGACTGAAATATGGCAGGTGGAATTTTCTCTTTGCAACTCATACCAATCTTTTCCTCATGTCGGTTTTTATACCTATCATTACCTGGTGAAAGGGGAAAAAAGGGCGAGAGACATAGGGGAGGAAGCAAGAGAGCAGGGAGAGAGGGAAAAATGATCAGGGAGTTTGAATGTCAGCTCAGAACATGACTGATGACAATGTTTTGTAATGGGTTCCCAGCAGGTCGAACTGCTCCTTTATTCTTTAGCGTTTTCACATCCATTTGTTCTCTGTGTGAAAGGGAACATATACATACTCACACTTGAGTCAGTTTAAGGAAGGAGTCATTTTGATTTGATCAGGGCAGATCCCTCAGATTTGTGTATAAGTGTAAAAATTAGTACACATTTTTTAATATTGTGGAAGGAAAGAGTGAAACTACAGTTGTATGAGACTGACAACATTGTGTTTTTTTCATGTGATGAGTTTTATAAAACTTTCCTTGCAAGATAATACAGTTTTTTGAATTTTTATTTTACGTAGGGAAAGTACAGAAGCAGAAATCATCACACAGTACCAGTGTCATGGTGTCATATTTTATTGCTTTTTCACCAAAATATAGCCGGGACCAGCAACATATTCTTCTTCCTCTTTTCACTAATATTATATTTGATAACTATTTAGACCTTTTCTGAGTTTTTATGATTTTATCCAATGTTTTCAACAGGCATCTGTGTCTGTACTCTTCTTCCACTTTTAATTCTGTCCCCTGGACATTAATGATGGCCATCAGTGTCATCAGTAGGCCACTGTGAATGCGTCTCTGTGTCTGTAAATCACCACAGGAGAAAACATAGCAAGGCCAATATCTGAAAGCAGCATCTTATGACACAGACACTCCCCCCAAAAAGCTCTCCCCATTTAGTTCACATTAACCGTAAATCAATTTACAATGTTCTAAGTCTGTTGTATTAACCGTGAGTTTATATTCTAAACCTGGGGTAGGCAACCTGCGGCTCGGGAGCTCCTCTCCAGTGGCTCCCTGTGGCTTTGACAAAAAATGATATTGAAGTGAATAACAGTTATTTTATTTTTTTACATTTTCCCTTTCATTTATCACTGTTGTAAGCCTAAAGGTATTCTTTCATTCTCAGTTTTTAACATGTGTAGCCATTACACACCAAATAATTGTTTTTTACTAGTCTTGAGTCTCCTTAGCTATAGGTTAGCTTTGGATTCAAAATTATATACTGGGTAACGGAGCTTCTGATTTTTGTCCAGTACCGCCACCTCTGGTGAGCATGGTTGTACCCACCACTGAGGTCTCCATACCTCAGTATTTTTCCCGAGGGGTATAGAAAAAAAGTAGTGAAGTAATTGCCTAAAAATAACCACTTTAATTTATGCCCCCAAAAACCCCTAGCAAGTTCAGTTTTTGGACCTCTGTATTTCTCAAACCCTGTGTACAGCAATACTGGTGAGGTACTCCTAAATGCCTGTTTAGGATAAAAAACATTTAAAAAAAATTAGGGTTAGGGTTATGTTGTGTTTAGGGCTAGGGTTGTGCTGAATTACAGTACTGGTATTTGGTCCGGGTACTGATTATAAGGCTGGTATCTATGAGGGGAGCAGTGAGCAGAGACTGCAAACATTTGGTCAGTCCTCCTTTTCAGTCACAGGCCCGCAGATCTGGAATACCCCCATCAGAAATAAACTACATTATAGATACAGATACATGGCATTATATAGCATTTATTCGTTCCCTTCCTTTTCTTTTTCCTAATTGCTGTTTTCAGTCATTATTGTCTTAATGTTTGTAGTGGCAAATTAGCTACTACTAGAAAACCCATATACATAGCTGTGGTTGCATTTTGTTTGAATGTAACAGTGCTTACTTGTCAAATAAAATAAAATAAAAAGTTGTGGAAGGACAGAGTATTCTAGTAGAAAGTCTGTTCCATAGTAATCACTGTCAAGGAATGTAACTTTTTTTAAACTAACCAGAGCTTCATATTCTTTCCCAACAAACACTCTGTTTCACAATCACACAGATACACACATTCACATTAATCAGAATCCGAATCCGAATCCGAA